TGGGCCATAAAGCTGTTCTTGCTTATCAGCATTCTAAACTTTTTCCTAAGAATTGCCAGATTTGAGGTCTATTTTCACATTGTGTTTCTTTTCATAAATTAAGTACTCTGTTTTGTTTATGTGGGCAGGAGTAACTAAAAGAATTGGCTGAAATGATAATCAAAGATTTGCTAACTTCTCACTGACACGGTACACTTCAAAACTAGTCCTCAAGAAGTGCATTAAGAGATCTAAATAACCTGCTACTATGAAGGAGAGGCAAGGCTTTCATTGTTAACAAATGTATTCTTATGTCTGAGAATATCTTTGTTGTCATACAGAAGCTATATATCATGGTCACAATACCAACTTAAAACATGGTAAAACTTACTTTTACATATTTTACTTTTTCATTTTAAATAGGCAGCACTTTGATGGAAATGAACTCTCTACTAGAGTACTGCTAGTACACTAGTATACCTGCATGGCATGAATCCAATCTGTGCTAACAATAGTAACACAATGTACAATAAGTTTACACCTTTAGTAGTTAAGGACTTAGTAGAGAAAGACACTAGGTGAGTACTAAGAGTGGGCAAAGCTTCTTGTCTGCTTGCAAGATGCTTAATTACATCCTATTTAAATTAAATTTTGAATAGAAGAAACATAATGAGCTATTTTTATCAATATGTTTCCATAATAAAAGCCTTCAAGATTAACAAATGTATTTAAAAATAAAATTTTGGGCATTAAAAATACAGATATGGTTCCAGCTGATTTAAAATTGATGGCATATCACTGAAATGGTAGAATCTACTACAAAAGCTGCATTTAAGCATCACATCGCATTTAAGGAGACTTTTACAAAGTCTCCTCTGTCTTCCTTCCTCCTTTGCAAGAAAGTAAGCATTAAATGTCATTAATTAGCCATTCAGAACAGTTTTCCATTCTTTTTGAGTGGGATAAATAAAGATACCAAAATCAGATCTAGGCTTTATAATTATATCTGGCTTAGCTTAAAATAAGTTTGATTTTATATTCCTTTGGATTGAATTAAAATTTAAAAAAGCAGGTATTATATAAAAATGGATAGACATATAATAACATTTTGGGCAAATGATCTATACATCTTTGATTCTTAATAATAAAAGTTAGCATATTCTAACAGCTTGAAAAACAGTAAAATTTGGGTTTTCACATAATCCTCTTCTGTGGCAAAACAATAGGAAGGGAAGTTCAATGTTGCTTCCATATTTGATTAAACATAATTAAATATTATATCTGAAATGAACCTAATCAAACTGCAATTTGTCTTAATTTGCATTAGTAAAAGAAGGCTAGCTTTAGTTTTTGGGGATAGCTCAGGCCATGAAGTAGATCAGAGTTTATAGTTGAGGCATACTATGTAATTTTGATTAATTGAAATCAGAAGCAAACATTCCCAAATTCCCTCCCATAGCTACACTGGAAGAGAAAAGGGAGGGGCAGAATAGAAGCCAGGGATTTCTTCCACAAACCTTTGTTTATTGTTATGTCCAATATGAGCTATTAACTTGTCAAATATTTAACAACATATTTGTTCCAGCATGAATATTTTAATTGACTCCAGGCAGAAACTTGGTGTATAAGCTAAATGCAAAGAAAAACATTTACTATCCCCCAACAAATATTGTTATGTTTTAAATCAAGAAATGAAACATGATATCCACTACATCAATAATAAAAACTTTAGCTTCAATTTCCAAATTAGATTAATTTGGTGTTTCAAGAATATTTGCAAATGTAATGAATAAATTAATCTGGAATCCACGTGTCATAATTATGTAATCTGTATAGAGATCCTGTTCTTAGATAGCTTCATATCTGTCATAGTTAAAGGCATACTCTCCATGGTATTTAGGCATGGAATGATTTAGATGTTTACCAGAAAGAATGATGCTTCTACATTTAAGACAATTCTGCTCTTTCATGAAAAAGGTTTAGACAAGAAAGCATCATGTTCCCAGAAAATTTTATCTCACAGTTAAATTATTTGGGAAATTGAATCTTTCTTTCAGGTAAATAGATATTATAGCATTTAATTCAAATACCAGACTAAGTTAAAGGCAATTAGTCTTTGGATTTCAGTTGCCGCTGGGTTCTTCTTAGCTAAGATGCAAATAACAGCACATTTTAAATTGCATCTAATTATATATATATACACATATACATACATACATACATACATACATACATACATACATACATACATACATACATACATGATGTTTACAACCCCCGGTATGCCCGAATATGGGAGCAAGATTACTACTTCCATTCTCTGTCCTTCGGCTCGTCACAAGAGACCATCCAGGCAGAAACCCAATATTTTTACTGTTGCCTTTTTGTTACATTTTGTTGTATTTGTGCTGATAAATAAATAAAGGGAACTAGTATAGATCTATTTCAAGCTATTTAGCTCTCATATTTAACTATTTAGCTTGAAATAGATCTATATTAGTCTCCCTTTATTTATTTATCAGCACAAATACAACAAAATGTAACAAAAAGGCAACAGTAAAAATATTGGGTTTCTGCCTGGATGGTCTCTTGTGACGAGCCGAAGGACAGAGAATGGAAGTAGTAATCTTCCTTCCATATTTGGGCATACCGGGGGTTGTTAGATACCTATCACCATTCGCTGATAACGGATAAGAGCCTGTGGCCTAATGGCTAAGATATCTGCCTAGTATGTAATATAGCCCAGGTTCAAATCCCAGTAAGGGTATGGCTAGCTGATGAGAGCTAAATAGCTTGAAATAGATCTATACTAGTCTACCTTTATTTATTTATCAGCACAAATACAACATATATATATGTGTGTGTGTGTGTGTGTATGTATATGTATGTGTGTATGTATGTGTATATATATATATACATACATACACACACACACACACACACACACATATATATACACACACATACATACACACATACATACACATATACATATACAATGTTGTATGCCACAAATCACTTTCATACTAGATGGATAAGAACACAAATATGAGAAACAATCTAATATCCAGTCTCATTCCAAAACCTGATTCCTCAATGTAAGCATCCTAGATGTGTTGGATTCCAACTTCTGATTAGAAATTCTCAGTGGTAATCCCAACATTTCTGGACATCAGGTCAGAAAAAGTTTACTGTACAGTAAGGCAATCAGCAAACATGACAACATCTTACAGATCTAATTGAACAATTCTAAATATATAGGAACCTTTTGGTTTCTTCCATGTAAGAGTTTTCCTGCCAAATCCAAATATTTACTTCTTATATAGTGCCAGTTCATAGAATAGAAATTATAATTAAGAAAGGTATCAACCTAAAACCATCTTAAGGATTTCACAATAGGGTAAGATTTAAAATTTTGGTCCTCTTTTTCCAAAAATCCCTAACAGTTCAATAGATTCTCTAAAAATATACAATAAAATATTTTAGAGAAGAATTTGAAATTATCATAGTGCTGACAAAGTTTGCAAATGTAACCTGGTTGCATAAGTATCCTTGTGCTGATCACCAAAAGACATATCAGTACATCACATAATATAGTCAGTGGTACATGATGACTGAAGACTAGTGAAATAATTTTATAAGGAGGAGAAAGAGGTGAAAGAATTTCTTCACATAGATTATTTTCTTGAACAATCTCAATTGTTTCTAAAAATTTCTATCCATTCTTCTATTGAAACTCTTTCATTACTATTATTTCATGGGGGGGGAGGGTGTGAAACAATTGCTCATATTTTATTTAGGCAATGAATTAATACATCTGTGGAGAAAGTCTAACATCCTTGTCCTGTTTATAATTGATTTGTCAAGTTCTATTCAGTGCAACATGCAAATAACCATATACCCTTCATGAAGGAAAAAATGTTCCTCAGTCTGGCATAGTTTTTTAAGCAGAGAAGTTGAGCAGACTGAATTTTCTTATTCAACTATCCCAAAATCCTGGACTTCATGGACCAGGGAAGACCTACCAAGCAAAATCTCCTGCAATTTGATGACACCTATTCAAATATATATTATAACCAATGGAACTGAAGAGCAATAGTATGCAAAAAGTAAAGTCTAGGACTATTAAATTATCCGAAGTTAAGTACAGAAATGCTTCCAAAAAGTAGTAATTAGTGATAACATCTTAAAGTTTTTCATTTCATGCATATGGAAAACATAAACTGCAAATAGTTAAACTCAGTGATGCATCATGCTGTTTATTTTCCAGAAGTCTAAATTTCAGTTGTTTGTATCTACAAGCAGGACTTTTAGGACCTCAGGGACCACTAAATTCATAATTTTAAATCCCACAGACTACTAATATTAATTTTTAAAAAGATGAATAATATTTAGTGAAATATAAAAAATGCAAATATTTTTTCTGTGGACACCAAAATTTTCTCAGGGACCACAGTGATCCGCAGACCACTGGTTGGTGACCACTATTTTAATCCACCCCCTCAAGCAGAAGATCCTACTCAAACCATCTGGCAATTTTTTTTGAAACCACTGCCAATGTCTCTCTCCAAAGTCAGGATAAGCATCTGCTAGGACCCCAAAATCAAAAGACACAATATTACTTAGGATTACTTTTCAAAGAATGAACTCAAAGGATATGAAGTTCCTTTCTCTTCTAAGTTTGATTTACTTTAGACCAGTCACTCCTGCCTTGTTTATAACATTAAACCCTTTAGAAGTGTATAAAAGTGCTCGTATAAATTCATATAACTATAACTTTATATTAGAGCTACACTCTAAGAAAACTCAGATTTCTTGGAATTATCGTGTTAAATTTAACTAAAGCTCGAGTTTATGCGTGTTTGGACCAAATCCCACTAATGTTATAACGAGGCTGACGCGGATACAACTGCAAGCAGCCGGTCAGGTGCATCTCAAGGATTACGTGTGGACAGACAGGCAAAGAGGGAAGAAGGGAGAGGAAAACATGATGCGATTCAAGATGGGAAGAAGAAACTTACGGCGCTGTCCCGAGCCTGGCACAATCACCGCGAGAAGGCGACTCATTCCCAGGACCGGGCCGGGATGCCGCTGGCATTTGTGCAGCGAGACGAGCCCGACCGTTAGGAAAGCCAGGAGTGAGATCCACATAATGTAGTTTTGTTCTCCTCGGAGGTCGTGCATAGTCCAGGAGCAGAAGCTCGTCACGGAGTCGCTAACCCTGTAGAGACCGTGGCGAAAGCGACAGGGGGATGAACTACCACCCCCACCGAGACGCAGGTAGTAAGCAGCGGAGCCGGAAGGGGAGCGCGGCCGCATGTTAGGGAGAACAGGGCCATCCCTCGGCCGAAATCACAGGACGAAGGCGGCAGAAGCGGCGCCCTGCTTCTCCAGAGAAACTCTCCATCCGCCTCGTCGCCCCGTTTAACTTTCTTGGATGCTGCTGCTGCTGCCGCCTGCAAAGCAGCTGTTGACAAAAGCCTTTTGTCCGCCTGTCCTCCGCCTGTTCTGGCAACCAAAACCAAGTTCGCAGCAGAGGAACTAGAAAGAAGAAAGGAAGGTGAAGAACGAAAGCCTATCTGTGCCAAGGTCTCTCTTCTCTGATCTCCGGAGTGTTGGGGAAACTGTCGAGGAATGGCGCGGGTGCTTGGGCATCGAAAGGCTCGCTTGATGCCGGTGTGACTCCCGGCCGGCTGCTCTGCTCCCTTCCTTTCCAGCAGGTTAAGAGCAAAAACCGAAGAGACGTGAGGGAGGGAAAACGGGGAATGGGTGGAGAGCGGGGCGTAGACCTGCCTCCAGCCGCCCTTTGTTTTGTAGCAGCGGCTCAGGCTCTCGCCCCTGCCTCTATTGTTCCATTCTGGGTTGCAAAGCCGCGAGCCGCTCTCTCCGCCCTCCGCTCCGTTGCCGCTTGACAATCAACCCACGCTCTTCTCTCCGAGAGCCGCCTAAAGCCCAGATTAGACTTCTCCGTCATTGCCCGTCAGCAAATGTGTGCGTCTGCCTTTCGGAGACGGTTGCATAGCTGTTTCGTGAACACGTCTGTGAACGTTAAACGTTCCGGCTAGGGGGCGCTCAAACAGAGAAGAAGTTGGATCGACCAATCAGCACTCAAGGCGCGCACCTCAGCAAAACGCACAATTGGGATTTGGGGGATGTTTGTGTTGGCCATCTGCAGTCGTCTACAGCCAATGTACAACTCCTTTGCAGTATAGGTATGTAGCAATGCCAAGCAACTGCATTTAGGCATTGCTTAATATCTGTGCTGAGAAGGGCTTGATGGGTAAGTATCAGTGGCAGATAGCTGCAGGTGGGCCAACGCAAAGCGTCCCAAATCCCAACTGCGCTATGTAGAAGTACACATCCTGTTTAGATGGGTTCACCCGACTTCTTGCTGTGTTATGCTGCTTGAGCATCCACAAAGAGTTAAAATTTGCAGATGTATAATTGCAACAGCTACGCAACCGTCTCTAAATGACACATACATTACCAGATGGGCTGTGACAAATAAATCTAATCCAGGCTTAAACCAAGTTAAGGCCACCTGTGTCCAGCATGTTCATTTCATCCAGAAAAATCACTTACCACACTAGAAAAGTGAAAGGAAAAGTTGCAGTGTTTGAACTGTGGAACCTTCGCTCCCACATTCTGAATAGTAATACAACAGTGGGTAGAAATGTGGAAAGCCCATTTGATGAAACCACTCCTCTCTGTTTGGTGGCTTTCCCAAGATAACTCTGTCATCAAAACTGGGATTCCAGCCAGTTCATAAGGGAAAAGAAACCAAACTTAACCTAACATGAAAAGCTTTTTGTATAATAGAGGAATGGTTGAACAGCATATTGTTATTTTTTTATTGTGTAATTTCAAGCAGAATCTTGACAAGAGGTTGCAAAGCTGAAAATTGGGTGGTAATATGAAGGATCATATTTGTTTCTGCTTGTCAGTTCTGATCTCTGATGTTAAAGTTCATTAACTATAATTAGTGGTAGGCAAGCCAACATGGCAGGAAAGCCATCATCCATGATTTTATGAGTGGGAGGTAGGAGAATTGCACTCTGATAGTAGTTTATTTGAAGTGATTGCTTCATGTTGCCTTAGGGTAAACCAGGCCTGTATATTCTTACATCAGTCAGAAATTAGGTTTTGCTGCATTTATAAACAATGCTGTGAAAAATTCCCACTAAGTACCGTATAGTGGGATTCACTTCCACTATTTTAATCTGGATTTAACTCAGTGTATCTTGGATTCATTATATTGTATAAGTGAGTCAGCTTTAAAAGTGTAACTAATGTAGCTCCACCTCATTCCTATGTTCCAATTTCACAAGCCAGTTTTTAACCATAGTTTCAACTCAGCAGTCTAATTCTAGAATATATTTAAGCTATAAATTGTGTTCGAATAGGTTGGGGCTGTCCACAATATGTCCACAGGTGGCTGGTAAGGCTTGTAAGGCCTATAAATAATGATTAGCAAAGTACAGTAACATGGTATACATAGTGTTAAAGGAAACAAACCATTTTACATCTTAGCACAATATATGAATGCAGCCAGAATATTTTCTTTAAGTTGTTCTAGATTCTGAACAGTAGTTCCCAAACTTGGCAACTTTAAGACTTGTGGACTTCAACTCCCAGAATTCTCCAGCTAGCTCTTCTGGCTGGAGANAATGAATAAGAGAAGTATGCTGATTTTTACTGCATTTTCCTTGATATTCAATGAGAGTCTACTGGTGGATTTACACATTTACTATACCATGATTTGTGTTACCCATGGTTCATTGAATATCCCTGAATTAGCTCCTTTTCCCTATACATCTGCATAAGTGGACAACTCTGCCCATTAAAAAATAAAATACATAGAAATTGGTTCAAATGTTATTTTCAAACACAGGATGCAAATGTACCCCACATACAACATATATTGACCCAACCCCAATATAATGTTTAGTGCATTGAGGTCATCATAATTCTGGTGGAATTATGCAACACCATATTCATGCAATTGTACAGTTTTGCCATTCCATACACAACATGCAAGATCCATTATCTGAATTTGTGAGTTCCAAACTTTTAGGAGTACACATAAGTGGACTTTTCAAAATCCTTCTCCCTGTCATTTTCCTCATCAGCAACATTTTATTATGCTCATTATTTATTCTCAGTTAAAATTATGCCTTCAGCCAAGTCCTCCTGATTCTTCCTCACCTAATTTGAGACATATAATGCTTAAGAAGCATCTCCCGCCATTTTGTTCTGAACTCCTGCCAAAACTAGCAGCCGTTCTTTATCATTTTTCATCATCTACTTTAGTGCTAGACAACCCTCTCTTCCAAAATTGATGGCGATCTGTGCTAATAACAATGAGTATGAGGTAGGGTGTTCCAAAATTGGTCCAGGTGAGCAGGTGTAAGAATGATTTAAGACCAAATCCAGAGATGGAGAGCTTTTGAACAATGGCACTCTGTCACATGCATTAATGGAGCATGAATAAAGTCACAATATGGAAAACATAAGCTAATGGTCCTTCAGTATATATAGTTCAACTATTTCTTCTATTCAGCAGCTGCCAAAATAAACTAAAAAGAGGTGTAATTCTACATAGCCTATTTCAATTTGGGATTAACTTTCAGGATTTCCAGCTAATATGCTTTTGTGAACATTTAGGTAAATGTTCCGTCTCATCTGGGGCAAAACACTGCAGAAAATTAGCCTGAAGATTTCATCTGAAGGTGGGTTGATCAAATTAGGGGACTGGAGGCTAAAACATATGAANAAACAAATAAATAAATAAATAAATAAATAAATATCCATTTAAGAGCAGACCAACAGAAAAACTTAAAACTATTTGAATGCAAGAATATAACTATTTGAATACCAAGAATATATTTTAAAAAATATATTCTTGGTATTAAGAGAAGTTGGTAAGAGACAAACTTATACTATCTCTGGAATGCTAGTGTCAGACAACAATCTCCAATGGCCACTCAAGTCATTTCAGAAGCTCCAGGCTTCTGTTGAAGAAAGGATTCTAAAATGGATCCAAGCCTTTTGGAAGCTTTGGGGTCTTAATTACTGAAAAAGGTTTTAAAAAATAGATTCAGATAAGAACATGTGACATTTATCAGTAATAGGAAAATCAGAAGATTGGTGAAGCTCTCATAATTCCCTCTTCCACGTCATACAGTTATGAAGTCTTCCTTAGCATCTACACATCACAACTCTTTTTATTAGAATTTGGAAAAAATAATAGTTTCTCACTGATACTCTTTCGATTGCATTGGGTTATTTAAAGGTATTATGGCAGCTTAAAAGAATTCTTAAATTTACAGAAAGTGGGGCTAGCTGGCAAAAAAAAAGAGGAGAAAATAAAACCTGCATGTTGTGCATGTTAATAAGTAGAGGCTTGTTTTAAAGCCAAATAGCCTTCCAAAAGCATTGCACAAGGTAAAGAAGAATTGTGCATGATTCCAATTAAGTTTTCTTCTTGAAACTTCGTATCCATTTCCTGGCTTGGCTGTGAGCCAGGCAGAAAGGCCAAGATTGAATTGATGTAGGCTTTGCCCAAAGGCTGCTTCTGCTAAATTCTTTTTGTTCCATTCTGAATCCCACTCTGTAGGGAATGTCTTGCCGAGGCTGCTGTTCATTTCTCTGGTTTCTTATTCAAGCCCTCCCCCCCAATCTGAGATAATATGTAAACTCAGGTTTTTGGCTCTGGCAGAATGCAATGGATGTTGGCACGATGTAAAATATATTCAGCAGCACTAAAACCTCTTAATGGTCTATATAAATGTACATCCCATATGAACTCTACATTTTTCCCTCATGGAGACTGATGTTAAAATGTTTCAGATCAGTGGTGGGATTCAAANATTTTCCATTAGTCATCTCTTTGTTAATCTAATATGAAAAGTACTTTTGTATCTTTCATTCAGCAGGCACATTATTTTTTTTCCTGGAAGTTATCCTAGTATGCAGCTTTCTAGAAATGGAAGAGATATATTTATAATCTGTCTCAATAAATATATCAATCTACATCAATTGAGGCAGTTGATTCTATTTGTTTTAGCATAATGAAAATGTTCTCTCACTTTGGGATGTCAAACAGTATTTGCAGAGGTCACGTAAACTCCGTCATGCTTTTGCCACTAGTAAATGCCATAAATAAATAAATAAGCAACCTCGGATAATTATGCCATTAGCACAATGTTATAACCGATCTATTTCAGCCAATGGAATCAGAAAATTCAAGTGACAATATAGTATATTGCTGCTATGCAAGTCCACATTGCTTGCAGTCATTTATTAATTTGCCGAAAAATATTACTTTTTAAGGAAGAGCATTTATAATTTTGCCTTACATAGCTTTCTCTATAGTTTTGTGTTCAGCTTTTTTTGTAATATGAAGATGTTTGATGTATTATTGAATAAATATATGCCTTTTAAAATATTCTTCATCGTTTTCCCACAAAATGCACTCCATGAACTCCTATCATATTTGCCACAGTAGTTTTGGTATTTGGAGGGCAAACAATTTTCTGCTAAAGAAACCCACTCTTAACTATACAAATGAACATAAAAATAATTAGCTGGATGACTTGTAGTAAAAAACTGAACTGGGAGATCAAGTCGACTTAAGAGAAACAATGAATTATGCATAATATTCAGTACCATGGATAGCTCAGAAAGTAGGCAGTTTGCACCAGTAACCAGTAATTCAACCAGTAACCAGAACTTAATTAAGTTTTTCTATATAGTAGCTTTATGTCTTTTTTTAAATGTACTTGTTGGAAAAT